CACTACCACTACCACTACCACTACCACTACCACTACCACTACCTGGTTAAATGCTACAAAATCTAATACTCTTAATACTGACATATTAGGCTATCAGTTTGTTTCACAACCTACTAACCAGCATGCTGGTTGCGTAGGTTTATATGTTGAAAATAGCCTAATGTTTGTTGTTCGTGATGATCTTAGCTGTATAACTGACAAACATGAGTCATTGTGGATTGAAATTGATAATCAATTAAAAACAAATCTCTTATGTGCTTTTAGACATCAACAGTAATTTAAAGGTTTTCATAAATAGTATCAAGTCCACTCTTGATAAAGCAAATAATGAAAATAAACATTATCTTATTACGGGAGACTTCAACATAAATCTCCTTAACACTGATTCTCACAGCTTATCCAATGCGGTTATCAATACATTATCATCTCACTTATTTCAAAACTTACTCTCATGTCTAATTTCACAAGGAAGGGCATCAAAAAGTCTAGGTGCTGCAACATCAAATACCCTGTTGCCAGGAGTCTAAATTAAGAACTTAAAAACATATATAAGATGGTGCAAGACCATGCATGACTTTAAAAGTTAACACTATAAGCTTAATATGTACTATTTCTTTGGGAGGGAGTGAAACACAGGAGTAATAAGAGAAAACTTGGGTATACCTGCTACTATAGCCTTGTCGCTCTATTCTTTAGATGCTGTAACTTTTAGATCAACTCTGCGGGCAGACCACTAAGCAAAGTGTTACTGAACAATAGTCTATAGATCATACTTGCAATGAAGGCCTGTATTAAGACTTTAGCTGTGTCCATTGAAGATATTTTCTAATCCTCCTGATGTTATGAAGTTGGAGAAAAGCAGCTTTACATGATTTATTGATATGAGGTACTAGACTCATGTTACTATGGAAGTAGGTCCCTAAGTTCCTCAAAGCTGAAACAGGTATCATGCATCTTGATATCTCCCACAGTTAGCACTTCAACATTAACCTTCTTAAGCTGCTGCCTTGTGCCAATAATTACAAACTCTGTCCTGCCATTGCTTCATCTTATCAGTAATCATCTTTTTTAATCAGCTTTTATGCACTTCTCTATTGCAGAGACACACTCCATCTCATTTGCACTGCAGTCTGGCTTGAAGGACAAGTATATATATACCTGAGTGTCGTCTGCATACACATGTGTGGAAGGCAATTATCGTTCTTTGATGACCTCGAATAACTTACTAGCATACAGGGTAAAGAGGAGGGGTCCGAGACCGGAACTCTGAGGTACACCAAATGACAACTGGAACCTATCTGAAAGACCATCCCCAAATGCCACTCATTGTCAACGGTTCGACAAGAAGGAAGAAAACCATTCTAATGCCTTCCCTACTATACCAAATGATGTCACTAGGCAGCAGAGAAGAATACCATGATTGACTGTATCAAATGCAGCACTTAGTTCCAACAATACGAGCAGGGTCACATACTGGCAGGAGGATGTCATTGTGCACTTTTAAAAGTGCACAACCTATTTGTGTCACATATTATTAGGCAATGTATGGAGAATTTTTAAACAACGTAATTCAATGAAAATATTTCAATGACATTTACCTTTCTTCCATGGAATGTTAATTTTTTTGTCAATTGACAATGTTTGAGACGAGTTTTGGGAGAACTTGAGTTATTTTATACCTCCTTCCTAAATAATTTGTGACACACATACATGTAGCTTGTGCTTTTTGTCCTTGCCTCCACCCCTATTATTGGGAGGCTAAAGCTGCGTTCATTATACTGCATACCGCAGGGGGGGAAGAGGAAATTTCAAAAATACTCCAAAATTTCAAGATCCCCCCCCCCCCCACTTAATGTCAAA